AAATGTTACCCCCAAAGCAATTAATCCAGGCTGCGCAAGAACACAAGGCTTTTGTCCCTTGCATTGTGAACAACATGAGGTAGTGAGGGGAGGGGGGAAAGGGCAGAGGGGGGAACTTGCCCCATTCGCCCCAGGCACCTGGCCTGGCCACCGGTCTGCTTCTTCTGCTTTTCTGCTTTTTCTTTCTTCTGCTTTTGACTGCACGCAAGGAAAGCAGCAAAAGTCTTTCCTTCTCTCCCCCAAACTCCAGCAGAAATGAGTCTTTGGGACCCTGCATGGCATCCTGCTCCAAGAGGCTGCACCAGCGCGCCAGATCTCACAAAGACTTATTTTTGGCAGAGTTTGGGGGAGAGAAAGAAAGACTTCTGCTGCTTCTGCTGCTTTCCTTGCATGAAGCCAAAAGTGTCTCTCTCTTCCTCTGAGAATGGAGCTGGAGACAATATCCTGCAATCCCAAATAAAGAATGTTCGATCGGGGTCTTCCGGTTTGCAGCGCTTCGGGGCAGGCAGGAATCCACGACTGTACGCGGTTTCTGCCTGCGCTCACTGCCCGAGTGCCCCGAGCCACTCGGCTTCGGGGCTAAGCCACCTCCATAGAAGGTGGCGAAGACAGGGGGGATCTGGCAGGGTCGAGAGACATCACACCTCTCTTCCCTAGCCGACAAAACCCCCTTTTCCGAAGGCAGCTGAGCGGCGGTCAGCAATGGCTGCCACATAGAAGAGCTCAGCCGGGAAAAGAAAGTGCAGGAGGAGTCACGAAGAAGTGAAAGTGGTTTTTGCTGACCGGGATAAAGTAAGAGAAAGTACCCTGGAACTTGAAATTTGCAAAAGATGATTTGTTTCCAGAGAGAGTTACAAGCGCCGAATGGAATTTAAAAAGGAAAAGTTTTTTTTTCTTTCTTTTCACTCTCCTTCCCAACATGACAGCGGATGGAACCATAAGAGAAATCGGAAAACCCGCATTGGAGGTAATTAAATGCTGAAGGGATAAAGAGCAGAATTGGAGCAGAATTTGAAAATAAGGAGAAGACTGCCTAGAATTTTAAAGAGTTATTAAACATTAATAAGACTTCTAAAAGATATATTTTAAATGGAACTTTGTGACTAAACAGTAACCCCAGAAAGAGAAAGTGAAGGAGAAAGTATTAAAAGAAATAGCTTATTTGGATTGTTTGGTGACTTTGGAACTTCTGAGAGCTATCTTTGATTAAAAGCACTTGGGTGGTTGTTTGGGAAAACTTTTTCTCTCTACAATGGCATCACTTGTGGATGAATTGAAATTTGAATACCAAAAATATAAAAAAGAACAACAAGAAGGGAAGGACTCTCTTGGCACTCTCTTTCAATTTTTAGAAATGGTGGTTTGTACCTATGAAAAGCTGACTGCGCAACAGGATGACTGGGATGAAGAAGAAGCCATCTTTGATGAACAAGTGACTCTATTTGGGGAAGGAAAGGAGAAAGAGGAAAAGGAAAAGGGGACTTTAAGACTTGGAAAAACAACCAAAAAAGAGAAAAATAAGGTGAAAAGTGGATACTATGCTAGAAAACAACAGAAAGGAGGAAAGCAGAAGAAGAAAAGGGAGGTGGAGAGACAAGGGGGTAAAAAGGGCAAGGAGAAGAATAAGCAAGGGAGAAAGGAAGGGATGAGAAGCCTCAATGGTGGGGAGCAAGATGCAAAGAAACAAAATTCTTTTAGAGATAATGGGTAAACTTTATTGAAAAAGGGATTCTGGAAAGGTACATAAGATTGTGTTTTTATATTTGTATTTAGAAATAATCTTAGAAAATTAGAAACAATATGTAATTTAAAATGTGATAAAACATTTAATGTAATTTAGTGAAATTTTTGTGAAGAAAAAGAAAGCAATGAAATAAATGAGAGAATTGAAGTAGGAGAAGGGGGAACATTTTAACAAAATAATGATTTAAAATATGTGATGTGGGGGGGAAATAACTATGGAAAACAGAAGTGTTCCCATAAAAGTATGATATTCAATTGAAAAGTAACATATAAAGTGTTTAAGATATAAATGAATACTAATATTAATGATTAGATTTGTATTGGCATTGATAATAAAAAATATTGTATAATTTTAGAATGTACCAAACAGAATCCCAATGTAAGCTATGTATTTTATATTAAGTATTATAAATGTAGGGGAAAGAGATAAAGGCATCATACTCCAATTAGTGTACAGGAGAAGTTTTGTTTAAAGAAGAAAGATAAATGGATAGCTGGAAACAGAACAGACAAAGAATAATAAATATTATGATTTGAATTGAGATGAGATAAATAAAATAAAACTAAGAAAGTTTAAAAGAGAAGAGAAGCTATATAGAAAATTGAAAGTGGTAATAAGATATGGAATGGTATATAAAATGAATATGAACTTGAATTTGTGTCTGTACGAAGAGTTGTAACCCGGGACTAAGCAACTTTCAGAAAAGATGTTCTAGTTTTATGTTTCTATGTTTTTATGTTTCTATGTTTTTGTGTGTTTATGCTTGATTGAGTTAATAAAACCTTGGGGGAATGTTAGAAGAGGATAATTGAGAATAAAAGATAGAAGAGAATAAAACAAGCCAGGTGAAAATATAAGTATAATGAGTAAAAACATATAAAATAGATAAATATAGAAAAGAAATATAATTGAATAAAAGTAAAGGGAGAAATAATGAGAAATTTGAAAGGATATGTATGTGTTTATAAGGAAATGTCTCAATGCTGTATAAAATAATGTTTTATTTGCTTTGTTAAAATTTACAATTAACTTTCAGAAAAGAGGTTTTATGTTCTTATGTTTTATGTTTTGTTTGTCTTTAAAAACTAATAAAATTTGTTTAAAAAAAGAAAAAAAAAGAATGTTTGATCGGTAGGAAAACGGGGTGGGGAATTTTCCTGCAGACTTTTTGGGGGATTTTCCCAGGGTCTCTGGTCCGCGGGATTTAAAATTATGATGGTTTGGTGGTCCCTGAAGTCCAAAAGGTTGGCGACCCCTGACCTAGATGACCTCCAAGGTCCGTTCCAACTCTGCTTTCTGTGTGTCTGCATATTATTGGTATAAGTGCAAAAGTGGAAGTGTAATCAACAAATTGTGGAAGCAAAAGCCAAATACACAAAGTGTGCCAAAGCAGAACTGCAAGTAACCTCAGAGAAAATCAAAAGGCTGAGGACAATGACCACCTTCACACATCCAAATAAGGATGGACTTTAACAAAAAGCACCTAGAGCAGGGGTGTCCAATTGGTGGTCTATGGGCCAGATGCATCATGTGCAGGCCACGCCCGGCCCAGCTGCGGGAAAGGGGAAAATATCACATGATGGCAACATGACACCCACGACCTAGAGAACTGAACACAGATAATAAAACTCAATTATACAGGGGCTGAGTTTCTGCTTCGTTGAGTTTCTACTTCTCTTTTAGGGGAAATATTCTGCCTTTTTAGTATATCCTAAAATATTTCATTTTTTTCTAGGAGAGGGGTGGGTTTTAACTTCCAACACACGTTTCCAGTGTCTTTCTCCCACTTGGAATGGAACCCAGATGGACATTTTCTTCCAACCCTGGTGACTGCCTGGACTAGCCCCCAGGATGGGGTTTCAGAAGTAGTTTGCCATTGCCCCCTTCTTAGGGCTGAGAGAGAAGGGCTGGCCTTGGGGCTCTGGGCCAGGTGCTGTATGGACTTGAGAAAATGAGGCAGCCTCCACACATTTTTGCTAGTGCTCCCCCGTTTCTCACTTTGCAATCCTTACGGTTCCCCTTCGCATTTCTTCCTTTGCAAGCTCTGCTGCCAGGCTTAAAGTTTTGCTGACTGGGGAATTCTGGGAGTTGAAGTCCTCCAGGCTTAAAGTTTTGCTG